AAGCAAAAGCGTAGTCTGCGTCAGTTTGCTCTGTGCTCTCAGTCAGCCCTTCTACACTCCCGTTTACATTGTCTCCTAGAATTGATCCTCCTGAAAGTCACAGGACCTCCTTGCTTGGTGTTTTGTAGAGAGACCTGGGGCGAAAGATTTCCAACTGGCCTAAAATCCCCTGAAAAAAAGCCAGTGTTACAACCATTGACATCAACCAGACTTTCCCACACAATTTCTGCATGGCTAGCGTACCCAGCATCTGTTACAAGGGTGAAAAGCTGGTATGACAACGGGTGCTTGAACAGCGTAGAGAAGTGGTCATTTCGGAAGAGAATTGAAATTGATCCAGGCTCAAGACATTTCTTTAAATGTTCCAAGCCAAAAACACTAAGTTGCGTAGCATTTTCAATGTTGACGAAATGCTGTATTGTATCAATATCTTCAATCAACTTCTCCTCATCAGGATCTAGAGATCCCCCACGAAAGACACGATCTTCCAGCTCTTCTTTGCGAAAGTGTAGCAGCTGTACATCTTCATAGTTTTGAGCCACTCGCTTTAGTGCAGCGGCAGCGGCTGAAGATGGTTTTGCCAGCCAACCGTGAACTAACGGTAACTTAAAACTGCTATAGAGACTGATATCATTTGTCTCGAGGAAGGTACCTGGGGTATCACAGGGGTAATCTGTCTATTATATATTAGTTACAATCCCAGAACATAAAAGTTGAAAAATAAGAAGACAGGGAAGAGACGGAGATCCATAGTTAAACACTTACCAGAACTAATTGAGGGTTTACATTCATCCCTGTATGTAGCATAATAAGAAAAGAGCTGAGGGCTTCGATATCTGGAAGCTGGTCTGCTCCATCGGGGTAGGATGTGAGTTCATCGAACAGAGCTTGCACCAGCAAACCCAGAGATATTTTTTCTCTAGACTGAAGTGCTTTTGTTATAGGTGAGGGCGAATCAGCTTTGCTTCGCATTACGAACCCATTGACGAGAGCTAAGAGCGGACAAGGCCCGTTCTCATTCTGCACTAGCATTGGCGATTTACGCAAGGCGGTCATCCCGTCTGTCCAGTTAACCAGTCGGATGTCATAAGTCTCAGCTAGTTTGTCTTGCGGCACCGAAGGGAATTGACCAGATCCAGTGATCCCTGACAGAGTAGGAGACGCTGGTATGGTCGAGTTGGGGACCATTGAGGTGACTGGCGAGCCCATATTATCAGGCCTGGATAAGTAGATACCTTGCAAAGATTCAGGATCATCGTCCAACAGACTTTTTATAGGCTTTTCTGGATCATCCTTTGTAACTGTCTGGGTAAGTTCTGTGGATTTGAGGGTTTCCTGAATGTTTAGATCTGCAGGCCTCAAACTTTGGGCGACAATGTCGATTTTGTCAGATTGAGGGTATGTAACTGAGGGTTGGATTACTACAGACCTGGTATCAGAAGTGACTGTGTCGTTTCCTTTTTCCTCGGACGAGCAAGATGTTTCTGCCTCGAGCGACACAGTTTTATCTTCAAGCCCGTAACTACTGTCTCGAAGCCTCGGAGGTGGTAATTGTGAAAATTCCCCATCTAGGCCATGGGGACTAGGCGACTGGGCGACGGATTTCCCTGCTGGAGCGGAGAATATTAGAAGAGGGGGGTATGGAAAAAATGCGGGGTTTGAAACAACCTACCACATTGGTTATGATCCAAACTGCTTGTTTGTGGAAAATCAAATGGGTCTAGAACATGAATAGGGTATTTCGATGCGCCATTATTGGTCTGTCTGGCTATCATTAAGGGGTTATTTGACTGAAACCGACCAGTGCTGGAGAAAGGGAGCCCATCACCAAAAGAAGAGCCAACTGAGGCCTCACTTCTAGAAGCAATAACAGAAGCACCGCCACGCACTCCCTCATACTGTCCATAAGGTGAATTTCGGATCTGCGTCTCGTTCTCAGATCTGCCGTGCTCCTCCGACGGCGGCAGGAAATCTGACTCACCAACGCGAGAGGAAGGTGGCGTTTTCCTGGCAGCTGGGCGATATGCCAGTTCTTGCACCCAGGTGTTGGGCATTTCATCGGACGCCACATTGTAACTCGGCACAGGACTTTGGTTCAATGCAACGGCACTGGGCAGCTTTGATGCTGAGGGGTTGGAGTTGGGTGAGGCGGAGGCAACAGGAGAATGTAAGGACAAGTGCGATGATAAGGTATTCCAACTCTCCGGGGTATCTGTATCCTGAGATGGCTGCTTCCTCAAACCCATGACCATATATTTATTATCACTTTATGATGGGGCTTTTCAAAGATTCGCCGCACTCCAGCTCATGGTCCTCTTATCGAGCTAGCGTCGAGCAAGTTGTAGTAGAATAAGCTCAATCGCAACTGGTATAATAGCGATGTCTATCCCTATCACTGATCCTCTTCCCCTTCCATAAATCACCATCTGACCACACTATATATTTCTGCCTTAACTGAGAGTAATCACTAATGTGTAACGCGGGAGGAGGGCGGGACGTGGGGTATCTCTGGAATAATCTTGATAATCGGTCAGGAAGACATATTGATTGGCGAGAGTTCAAGAGAGAAGAAATAGGTCTTCTTTTAAGAAATTATACCCCAGCAGCTGTTTACAGAGAAGACTGCTAT